TTAGTCATCATGTGGAGTCTACATCTATACAAGTGCATTAAGGACATCTACACTACTTGTGGGACTATATGAAAAATTATGTTAAACATGCTCAAGGTTTCTGTACTTCCTAGAGCCCAAAAGCAACAAACAATTCATGGACTGCTCAAGAAGAGTGGCTTTCAGCAGAACCCCTAATAGTCCTATTCGGTTCCACAAGGGGAAGGGGTCCCTATCAGGGGTGGTATGTAGGCATAGAGAAAACGTATCTCAGGCGCTCCGCATTACGATCCCTAATAGGGACCCCTATCATATATACGCCCCATATGCTATTCTGGCAGAGCATGGAGGCGCAAAGGGTTTAGGGTTTGGGGCTTGGGCTACGGGGCCTCGGGCTACGGTCTTAGGGATTAAGGACTGGGGTCTAGGGCTTGTAGGGTTTAGGGTTGAGAGAGGGATCTTGGAAAGGAAGCCCCTAATAGGGACCCCTAGCATATATACGCCCCATATACTATTATAGCTCTATTATAGAACCCCTAATAGTCCTATTCGGTCCCCATAAGGTGAAGGGGTCCCTATCAGGGGTGGTATGTAGGCATAGAGGAAACGTATCTCGGGGGCCCCGCCCCAGGATACATTACGATTTGGCCAAGGGTTCTTGGAAAGGAAGCCCCTGATAGGGACCCCCAAGCATATATACACCCCATATACTATTATAACTTACTTATAGCTTTATTATAGAACCCCTAATAGTCCTATTCGGTCCCCAATAAGGGGAAGGGGTCCCTACTAGGGGTGGTATGTAGGCATAGAGGAAACGTATCTCGGGGGCCCCACCCCAGGATACATTACGATTTGGCCCAGGGTTCTTGGAAAGGAAGCCCCTAATAGGGAATCCTAGCATATATACGCCCCATACTACTATGGCTCTATTATAGAACCCCTAATAGTCCTATGTAGCATAGAGGAAACGTATCTCGGGGGCCCACCCCAGGATACATTACGATTTGGCCTGGGGTTCTTGGACAGGAAGCCCCTGATATTGATAGGGACCCCCAAGCATATATACGCCCCACATACTATTATAGCTCTATTATGGAACCCTAATAATGATCCTATTCGGTCCCCATAAGGTGAAGGGGTCCCTATCGGGGGTGGTATGTAGGCATAGCCCCAGGATACATTACGATTTGGCCAGGGGTTCCTGGCAAGGAAGCCCCTAATAGGGACCCCCAAGCATATATACGCCCCAAATACTATAATGGGTCCCTATGTAGGCATAGAGGAAACGTATCTCGGGGGCCCGCCCCAGGATACATTACGATTTGGCCCGGGATTCTTGGACAGGAAGCCCCTAATAGGGACCCCTAGCAATTACGCCCCATACTACTATAGCTCTATGATAGAACCCCTAATAGTCCTATTCGGTCCCCATAAGGTGAAGGGGTCCCTATCAGGGGTGGTATGTAGGCATAGAGGAAACGTATCTCGGGGGCCCGCCCCAGGATACATTACGATTTGGTCCAGGGTTCTTGGAAAGGAAGCCCCTCATAGGGACCCCCAAGCATATATACACCCCATATACTATTATAACTTACTTATAGCTTTATTATAGAACCCCTAATAATCCTATTCGGTCCCCATAAGGTGAAGGGGTCCCTATCAGGGGTGGTATGTAGGCATAGAGGAAACGTATCTCAGGGACTCCCCCCCGGATACATTCAGGAGCACGTCCCGCTGTTCAGCCTGTTCGACGTGAACCAGTACGCGGAAGATCTGGCTGGCAAGGCGCGTATGGGATGCTGGTCCCATAGGGTAGAGCATGTAGAGCGGGGTCGTGTCTTGTTGAGTTTTTGTGGGCATAGAGGAAACGTATCTCAAGGGCCCCCAGCAGGATACATTAGGATTTGGTGGAAGGTTCCTAGGAGGAATATGGCCCGCAAGGCACATGTGGGATGCACGCTCCATTGTCTAGAGTTCTGCCGCCAGTGGCGGGAGTGGCGGGGCCGCGATTTCTTTGCGCGGTGGCTCTCGCAAGAATGCAGCCATCCTACAGCCTTGCTTTCCATTCTGAATCGCGGGGGAGCTCTGATGCAGAGCTACCTGCTTCTTGTTCGATCGGAACAAGAGGCGCAGCTTGGGATAGCCTTAGACAGCTTCTGCACTCCCGAGGAGGTGCAGACGAACATCCAACGCGAGCCTCTGGCGAGCATAGGCTTGTGGCAGCCTTTGCGCGAGTTCATGGGGCAAGTCCCATGGGTCCCACTTAGTTATGGAGGCACCTTGGAGGCGCCTCAGCTTGAACTCATGACTGCTTCATTGATTTTTTTCAGGGCTTTCATGATGGCTCTGCCACTCAGGCAGCCTTGCAGTTGGCCTGCGCACACCGGCTGTCCTATGTGGGCAGAAAGGACGTGTGCTACATGTGCATTTCCAACTGCAAGTCCTTTGTCATAATGGCCTGCTGCCACGAGACTTGTGCCTTCATCATCTTCGACACGCACTCGTGGAGTGCAGAGCGCAGCAGTCAATGCGGGTCGGCAGTCTGCAGAACGGCTCAGCAGATGCTTGCCTATACCTGTGCAGAGATGGCGCCGAGTCGCTGTACAAGCCGCAGAATCCTGCACATCTCTACGCAGCCGCGTTCCCGCCAAGCCAAGGCTCCGTCTGCGCACCCCCAGAAGAGATGTGACCTGCCCGCCTTCATCGGGGTAGTTTCGGAGTGTTATTTTTTATTCTTGATTGCCAGCAACCTGTCAGCACTCCGTCATGCTGCCTGCGCCAGGCTCCTATCTCGTGTGCAGCCCGGGCTTGAGGGACGACGTGATGGTGGACTCAACGTGAAGGCCGAGGCGGCGCCATCCATGGGGAAGGACTTTCTTTCCGCCTTCCCGGAGGGCACGATTGAGATCTTGGACAGTCCTGTCCGCACGCCGGTGAAGAAGGAGGGGAAGCTGGACAACCGTAGCCCTTCGGTGGACAAGGGAAAGCCGCCGCAGCAGCGCAGTGTGAAGACGGAGGCCGCCAGTCCAACGAGCGGCTCAGCAAATGCTGCGTGTGCGTCCTTGGTAGGAAAGACCGAGGCGGTCGAGGAGGAGGAGGAGAAGCCCCTAGCTTCTCTGAACGCACAGGTGGTGCCCGGGCCGCCAGACAAGCTACAAGTGGCGACTCAGGCAGACTGCAAGGCAGCCAGGGCTGCGGCAAAGGAGGAGCGTCAGCTGATGCAGCAGGGCCGAGATGTGTGCGCAGCGAAGAAGCTGGACTTCCATGCGCACTGGTTTCCGAGGCATAAGTTCTCGGCCCCAAAAAATCACTGGGAGGCTTTCTCATTGCCTTGGCGCACGGGGAAGAGCCAACGAACTGCGAGGCATGTAAGGAGTTGTATGAGGACTTTGAGCTTGGAAGTTTGGCGCACGAAGCCGTGCCACGTTTGCCTCCGCCTGCGAGCAAGACCTCATGTGTGGAGCGCCTGGAGCTGTTGAAAAAGGCCGAGGGGATGGACGAAACCACCCGCAAAGGCCGCCGCCCGGCCAGGCAGGGTCAGGCGGAGGCGCCTTTGCGTCAGCGCCTGTTTGATTGGGTTCGAGAGCGCAGATCCGACGTCTACTTGCCAGCGCCAGCTGCAGACAAACCCTGCAACTTCTACTGCCAGATATGTAAGTCTATGGTCAATGGAAAACGACCGTCAACCATCTGGTTCCTGCTCCAGCACGAGTCCTACGACTGCCACTGGTCAGCAAAGAACGGCAAGGACGAAGAGCGGCTGTGCCAAGGCATCGTGGTGCGGGTAGGGTCGCAAATCCCAGGCGCCGCTTGTGCCGCTGTCTTCCAGATAACGAACTCCTTTCATTGCTGGATAGATCACGGCATGCCTTGGACACTCCAGAAGAAGAGTGGTCACAGATGCAGACTGGACGAGGCCGGTCTGTATCGGCTGCAGAGTGAGTCCTGCGGCGCACGCCCCCACCTGCTGCACGGACAGGAGTTCTGCAATTCCTGTCGGGCGCTTGCCTGCGACAGCAAGTTTGCAGACGGTGTGGCGACCTGGAGCTTCCTTTTCGACATCATCCAGCTCTTGCGCTGCGTCTACAGCGGTATGGACAGGCAGCGGAGGCTGCTGCTTGGAGACGTCCTGCAAGTAGACTACCGGCGAAGTATGGAGCGACAGTTCGACATCTCCTTCGACCAGCTTCCTGACATGGATTATCGTGCCCTGCGCAACCTGGTTCACAAAGCAATCGGGTCTGTGAACCATGCCTACCGCAATGAGGCTGCCAGAGCGTACTTGGAGAGTCATTACGACTGGCTGCCCCGTCTCCAGACAAAGCCCGCGTGTGGCGAGGTCTCCATCAGAAGGCTGCATGATCACCTGGACTTCCTGGCCGGAAAGGAGCATTGCACCGGCTTCCAGGTCACCTTGAGCCAGCAGGTGCAGCAACAACGTGTGGGCGCCAAAGCCATCGCCCAGAATCTCATGAGCTGCTTGGCAAATCGTTGCCGGAATGCCAAGAAGCTCACCACGCGCAACGTGCCAGGGGTTGAGGATCGTGTCCAATGAAGCCCTGAAGTCTCAACCCTAGACCCCAGACCCCAGATCCTAAACCCACCTCATCTGAACTGCACGTGGCCAGGAAGCATCCATGGCCGACATAGGCTTCTTTCTGGCGTCCCTGAGCTCCACGAGTGCGCTCATGGAGGCATTTGGGTTGAATGCCAAGGTCATTCCACGCTCGCCGACCGACTACCCGGGGCTGCCGAGCTTTTTTTCCCCGAGCGACGAGGAGCCTGACGAAGTGGGCAAGCGCTGCGAGTTGTACCACAGCGTGAAGGACGCGCTGACGCTAGTGAGAGGCTCAAGCTCTGGTGGTCGCAACTTGGTCCTGGCTTTCGACGAAACCGTCACTTTTCCAGGGTATGCGATGCTTAGTGACGCACGCGGCGCGTTCTACATCGGAGGAGCAGATGGCAAGGCACGGCTCAGTGTGGATGACGTGCAGCCCCGTGACCTGCGCAAGTCGGACCTTGCGCAAACCACGATGTTCTACCTTCTGCGCCCCGGCTGTGCCCTAAACCCGAAACCCTAAACCCTCAAACCACTCTCAGACCTACAAGCAGGCTATCTATCCAGGAAGCGAGCCGACACCAACAAGAACGTGATCGCGGTGAAGGTGCAGCCCCGGCGACAATCCAACATCACGGCCGCCGGGAACTTGCGGGAGGCCCTTTTTTTTTCCCCACCCTCGCTGTGGGGTTGTTAGATTTTAAGGTAGATGTTGTC